AGCGTTGGATATTAACATAAGGCGAAAGTTTACGTAAAACCACACTCAAAATAATAATATTAATGTTCTGCTTAGCAGTAATTGTAGTTAAATTTGAGCCACTAACTTTAAAAGCTTTTTAACAAGTTTCAACAACTTTGACAACACCTGAGGATGGAAAAATCAACCCTCCTTTATTTTTTATGCACAATAAAACTGTGTATGTGTCCTATTGGTAATGTATTACCATAGCTAAGATGGTCATTGACTGAAGACATAATTCCAGTTGTTGTTAATGCTTGGGCACAAATTGTACACTCAATACTGTGTAACAAACCACAAACAATAGACCCTGCAATGTAGCATAATACAGCTTGTTGAAACATGCTTATGTTTTCCTTGTCTAGTTTAAAAAACAGTAATTGAAGAAATGGCTGCTCATTGAACTCGATAGCTTGTACATCTTGTAGTGGTGTTCTTCGACGTGACCATTTCAGATTGAAAAGTTGGAGGTCAGGTGTAGAATCTAAAATTGAACAGTTTGCATTTCTGCTCGGAGCAATACTATTGTGTGTCAGTAACCGTCTCATTGAAGATTTAAATTGCACAACATTTGGATTAATGTTGTGCAATTTAAAGATGGTCCTGTGATAACTTATAAGTTAATAAATACTTTAATGGTTCAAAGGAACGGTTAAATAGATCAAGAGCTAAGCTCTGTATACTTAACACAAGTCCAATAACACATGTTTTACGACAATGTGAAGCCAATAAAGGTCCATTTTTGCTGTTATCTGTACGTAGAGACAGCAGATATGCAATGCTGCTACTAAATGCTTGCATCCAGTATCTACTATTGCTAAGTTTAAAGGGTTGCTTAAATGCATTTTTAGAGTTCATAATGTCAAATAAACGATCAAAAATACGCATAAAATTCACAGTACCTTTTGCATCCTCAAACCCTTTCACATTACACTTCAATAAAAATTCTATTGCATCTGCTACTGATGAGCTCAATGTTTGACTGGCAATTTTTACATTCATTTTGTTGGAAGTGTATATGCCTGTTGCCAAGTTTGTTACTAAGTGTCAATCCTTCTGTTTTTTGCAGTTGACACAAGAGTACAATGTGTTCCCATTTAATGATATGACCATTATTATCATACAACACACCTATATCAGCAAGAGCATTTCTTGCTAATTTAAGCATATGGCATGCATCTAATATATCATTAACAGGCCTGTTAGAAGATGTATTGTAAATCTTGGAGTAAAACTGATCTATTGTCACTCCAAATTTTCAACCCAATTGTTGTAAGCAATCCATATTCACTGGACTTCCATCACACGTCAAAGTGTGAACTCTAATGTTACTTGATTAACACTTTTGCAAGCAAGTCTGAACCAATGCTTTTAAATTATGCCCTGTAAACCTATGAATGAGTACATAACCAACTGGATATTTCCAACAACTTTGCAAACCCACAAGCAAAAATACAAGCGCTTCAGTTGCGATATTATCATCAGATTCCACACTTATTCCTCCATAATCTACAAACCCAATAAATTTGCCAGATTGTTCTTTATAGATTGTATGTGCTTTAATATGCATAGAATCCATTATTAAAGCTGCATCTCGATACATTATATCATTTTCAGCACGCACTTTTAATTAATCAAACACATCATTATTAAAACCAAGGTCAAAACTCAAAGATGATGTCCAATTGGACAATGAACTTGGTGCAACTTTTCAACAAGTAAAAGTGGTTCTTAGAAATTAAACTGTTAAAACCTTTCTAAAAGAAAGGTTTTAACAGTTCTGAACTTAGGTTCAGTTAATATGAAGCTTATATCCCTATGTTTCTCTTTCAGAATTCAAGTTTTTTGCCGTACTGCAAGATGGCGGACGTCGGCTTCACTTTTTAGTTAAAGTCATGCATCTAGTTATATATTATACGTCATTGGTTTTCTAGCGTTAAGTTTAGGTGCGCATGTGCCAGAAGTTCAAAGAAATTTTAGAGTTTTTAAAATGGCTGCGGTTTTTACCCACATAATCTTTTTTATATAGCAACTGTTATTTTTAGTTTATTTTTGTTAAAAAATTAATGTTGCAACCATATTACTGATCTAAATCAATAAATAAATGCCTTTTTTTTTTTATCAGTAAATAAATAAATACGCTAACCAATTATTTTTAAAGTTTTAATTTGTTTTAATTTTGGCTAAAACTTTTATTTGTAACATTGAGCGGTTTGTTTATTTTTTTAAAATAAATTTTTAGAATTTTTAACCGTGAAATTAAAAAGAAAAATTTCTTTATTATAATTACTTTCTTTATATTTTGACTTTCTTTTGGTCGTTGCTTGAATTTAATTTTTCCGTAATAATGTATTTTAACTCATTTAGCTTGTTAAGAGCTTAGTTTTTTCTTGAATTTTGTTCTGGTGCATTTTAATCAATTATGTTATATAATTAGGGATATAAAAATGTAATAAAACTAAGAGAGAGAGAGAGAAAGAGAGATAGATAGAGAGAGAGAGAGAGAGAGAGAGCAATATTACATAAGTATAATCAATGTAAAGTTATATATTTCAGGAATTAAAAAGAGCAAACGAGACTAGCATTTTTTAGAAAAACATTAATATACATAGCTTACATGAAATTTAAGTTAATTTTATTGCTTCATATTAAACTAAAAATTAATCAAGTTAAAATGTTTCTTGGTTTTTTTACATATACTAAATCTAAAATCCATCTATTTTTTATACGTACTATTTTTTGAAGACTATATATATGTCACCATATTAGTTGTTCTAGTATTTCAACCTTATATGATTGGAATTATTGGAACAACTATTATGACGATAATTATAGTCTTGTAAAAAATACATAAATATGGTTCGGTTTACTAATTTAGATACCAAATTGCATTAGTAACTGATAATGTACAGATAGACAATGTCTATTGATATTTATTAGTATAAAATGATTTTATATTTATGCTAGTTTGTGTTTTTATAACATATTGTTCAAGATTCTTAATTTTTTGAATTTACTTAATTTTATCTATTTTAACTTTAATGACATTAAAGTGGGGGTTAATTTAATTAAGCTGACATTTTTTACCTTGATGATTTTATGAAAATCTTCAAAAAAATAATTTGATCATTAAAGGCACAGTATCATGTTCTTACTTGAAAGAAGCTGAAACCAGATTTTACATAATTTTAAAGTTTAAAAACTTTAAGGTTTAAAAACTATGATTGTATAAAGTAGTACACTGTATGTATAATTGATATATGCTACTAATCTATAGATTGATTATATTAATGAATTTCAGAAATTTGATTGATAATTAAATCAAAAGTTCAATCATTATGATACAACTTTTTAAACTATGTAATACTGAGAGATAAATAAATAAAATTTATCAATGATTTTGTTGTTGTTGTTGTTAAAAGTATAATTAATAGGTTTTATATGAACTTATTTCCCTCCCATGGGATACAAAGCTTCACAATCTAGCTAACCCGTCCTTTGAGCCAATGTACAGAATCAAACATGTTTATTTTAAATTTAGAGTGTATATTATAATACATTAAAAATATACTATCAAATATTTTTGCATCTTTAATTATACTAGTAATGTTATACAAATGATAAGTTTAACTTTTGTACTTATCTTTTTTCATGCCCTTTAAAATCTGTCTTACAGAAAAATGTTGAATTAACAAAAACTTTTGATTCTGTTTGTTTCTAATGTTTTAAAATTAAGTTAAATGATTTTTGTAGTTATAAGGCTGCTTTAGTAATGTGACACTTCTTTTGCTCTTTTTTTTTTGACATTTCCCTCCCTAAAACGGTTTTGTGATCTTTTTAACAGCCCCCCCCCTCCCCTCACCCCAGCCTCCAATTTCTTATGTGACGTGACATTTGTAAACAAAATATATCTTAGTTTTTGCTAAAAGTTTACTAATTAATAAAAAATTAAATTGAATTAAAATTCAATATCAATTTTTAAAACAACGGAATTATACCACATACAAAAATAGCCTTTTGTATTAGCCCTAGACGTACACGTTATGAAGGCCTTAACAATGCGTACGTTAAGGGCGAATACAAAATATTAAGAAGTTAAACTTTCAAAGTACCTAAAGAAACATTGGATGTCATAAAATTAACGTGCAATAGGAAGTGGGGATGCGAAACCAGTGGTTTTGCTGCGTATATATATTATAGAAACCTTTAAGAAGAAGTTGTATTAGTGGCAGATTTAGTATAGCACTCCTTAGTAAGTGCCTTGGAGAACAGAGTTTAGTCGTGATAATAGTGAATCTAATGTCATAACTATATATTTAGTTACTAAAAACTAATACCTAAGTAAGGAACTTAATATTTTACTAAAAACTAAAAAGTTTTAAATGTTTAAAATAACAAAGTTTTCAATTAAATAAGATTTCAAAGTTCTTTCCCCAGGGTCAATAACTGATGTAAAATTTACAACCCTAAAATTAAAGACACATGATTCGTTTAAAAATCAATAAATAACAAGCAAAATATTAGGAAACTACTCATCAAATCAAGAAAATGAACTATATACTAATCAATTCTTTAAAATATTCGGAAATAAGGCCAAGATAAACCTAATTATTTAATAAACAGGGGTGGGTAAGGGAAAAAAAGAATTATCTGGTAGTATTAAATGCAACCAACAAAGAAAAAAATGTTTTTACTAGTTTTCATATACTTTGCAGTATTTTGCTTCTTTAGTTTTTTTATTTTTTGTATAATGTTTTAATCTCTTACATATATATTTTTACATTATTAAATTTTTTTTTATAAATTTTTAGTAGCAATATATTTTTTTCCTCAATGTTGGTTTAAGCTTTTTGTTTATAGGGTTAGTTTTTGATGATGCAATTTAAGCAAGACCTTTTCTTTAAACTCGTAATAAATGAATTCGCCTCCTTGTTTTTAGCACCAAAACCTATTTCTTTCTCCAAAACCCTATTTTTTTAAAAATCAAAAAGCATGATCTTCTAACATGTGTAACTTTGATAACAATGAACCATATGACCAATTAGCACAATAATACTGTATTAAATCAGCAATTTACTTTTCTAAAGATAAATTTATAGTAAAAAGCATATCTCTTTTATCTAATATAAATTTCATTTCTCAAACATACTACAACCCAGTAAGCACATGAAAGTTTTTAAAACGTTTTTTTAACTAAAAAAAAAACGTTTTTTAAACGTTTAGAATGGCAATACCTAAAAAACGTTTTTGAAAAAGCGTTAAAAAAACGTTTTAAAAAAGTTGTTTTAAAAACGTTCTAAAAAAAACGTCCTTAAATAACCCAAATTAAATCATAAAAAAACGTATTTTGAACGTTTAAAAGACGTTCTTTTTCAGAAAATATTCCCAAATCCATAGGTACTATTATTAAATTGTTTGAAAGAACATGTTGATTAAAAAAACAAGAAAAATAAATAATTTATTTAAAAGATATTATTAAATTTATTTTCTAAAACAATTTACAAACAAAGTAATATCGTAACGATGATACCTGTTGGATTAAAGGCACTTTAACACGAGCAAAAAGTTGCCCGCTTTAACCATTCAGTATTTATTGCATCGACAATCGACTCTGTGTATGATTCGTGAGCAGTCGATGCACAAACTAAAAGAATAAACTATATATTTAAAACAGACAATAATATGATAGATCTGAACAGTAATAATAGGACAGTAATAATAGTATAATAATAATAATAATAATAGTAATAAGTTTTTAAATTAGAAATGTGTTGAAAATATATATATATAATTTCATAATACACACAAATAAAAAGTATATTAAATATATATATATATATATATTTACACACACATACACACACAGATATATATATATATATATATATATATATATATATATATATATATATATATATATATATATATATATACACATATATACAGTAGTGGCATAAAGTCTTGACCACAGTTGAAAAACAAGAGAATTCATTTTTGGCACAATATAAAATAAAACAGCACCACATTGAAATAAAAATGACTCTGCATTGTCAATAATAGACGCCACTAATGAAGCATAAGAAATTTTGACTATAAGACTAGTATTTTGTATGCCCTCTATAAATATTTCCAAATATTTATCCTGGTTTACCGAGCTTGTACAACGATATAAATGACCTATACCTGATCCTGACATGCAACCCCATACCATATGAGAGACTCCTTTATGTTTTACTGTGTGAGCTACACACAGAGGACTAAATCATTTACCAACTCTTCTCCTCATATAAGCTCTTTTAGCTCCACAGAAAACAGTAAAGGTACTTTCATCATTCTATAACACTTTATTCCATTGACAGTCCAGGTTTTTTACATCTTCGCGAATGCTCTTCTTTTCGCAATTTTATAAGGTCGCAATAAAGGTTTCTTTGCAGCAATTCTCCCATTCAAACCAGTATGCTGCAGGCATTTTCTAACTTTCCTTGCTGCCAGATGAACTTAATGGTTTTTCCCCATGTAGCTTGCAAGATCTGAAGCCTTGGCAAAACGATTAGACTAACTCGCCCAAGACCCTGGAATGATTAATTGGTCCCTAATATTTAAAAAAAAAAAGTTTTTCAAAAAAATGGCAACCTGGTACTCAAATGAAGCAAAACTATATAAAAGTTTCAAAAATAATTTTCTTTTTTAAATTAATTAATCTTTTTGGTTTTATTACTAAAAAAATTATTTTTTTTTTGACAAAAAATAAAAAAATGCATTTTTTTTATGATAATTTTAAAATAAGTTGATTTTTTTTAAATGAATATATTTTTTAAAATTTTTATATAATTTCGCTTCATTTGAGTACCAGGTTGATATATGTTTGAAAAACTTGAAAAAAAAAATGGGTTTTTATTAAAGACGGGTTAAAGACCGGTTTTTTATAAAAAAAAACAACAGTTTTTTTCAGTTTTGAATCAAAACAAATATCACTTTCAAACTTAACATATTATTATTAAACGTACCTTTTATTAAGTTGTATAGCTTGGTTAGACTAAAAAAATTCTTTTGTCTTTTCCAACTGCCATATTAAATTTGGCCATGAGTGAACTTGTCATAAAACTAAAAATACCATAACTTGATAACATTATATTTTATAATTTATGATTTATAACTAACTACTGTTTTAAAAATGTTTTTCTTTATCTCATAAAATCCAAATATTTGATTAAATTTAATACAATTTATCTATTAATTATTGTTATTTAAAAAATAGCACACTAACCATTAGTGTAGTCCAGATCATTAATATACACTAACTATTAGTATAGTCATATATATGAATATTGTCTGGGTTAAAAGAATTGTCTGGACTAAAGTTTAAAGCTATAGGATAACCTATAGCTTTAAACTTGCAAACTGGCAAAAGTGTGAATTGGCATAAGTGCGCCAAACAAGTTTGCAAACATTACAAATAGGCATAAGTCCAAAATTTGA